TCAATTTTGTATAGATCTACACTGAGTGGTTGGATATTTGTATTCCAGGATGTCCCAGTAACTCATTTTTGGTTATGAAATAAGCGATTCTGTTTCAACTGAAGCAGTTCAAGAATAGGGGTGAGACCAAATTGAAACATTTTGATATTCCTGAGGGAGACAAAAATGGCTTTGACATTTGCAAGGAATCATTTATATTAGTATGGTAAGAAATTCAAGAAAAGCATTTCAGAGCTTTGTCTTTGACAAATGGTTAGCTAAAAATGCTATTCATTTGTTACTGCTTCACTCTACAGGAGTTTAGCAGCAGGGTTACTAATGTGAATGCCTAAACCTATTTTCTTTTTCATTTCATTCTTTTGATTCATATATTCAATGGCTTACACTTAATATGTAGGCTGAAGTGCTACTCTAAAGCTGAGATGGACAGTCATTAAGTTGTAGGAAAGTGAGATATGAATAATCTGGAGAAAAAAGGGTAGAAAATAACAAAAACCATTGTCAGTTGTCAGAAAAATCCATCTGGCTCACCAAATTCCCTCAAGAAAGGAAATCTCCCACCCTCACTCAGTCTGCCCTACATGAGACTCCAGACCTTCAGCAATGTAGTTGACTCGCAACTGCCCTCTGAAATGGCCTAGCAAGTCACTCAGTTGTATCATTCAATGGTTGTAGAAGGGAGCTCACCACCACTTTCTCAAGGACAAGTGGAATGGGCAATAATGCTGGCTAGCCAGTGACACTCGTGTCCCATAAATAAATAAAACTAAGTTGAATGCTCATTACATGTGACTTCCTGCTAACCTAAACTAGCTCCCAACAACAAATGCAAAACAAACTGATGTTATGAAAACAGACTAGATCAGCACATTATCTGGATATAAATGACTAATATCCCATAAGAGGCTTGATTGCAAAGTTTAGCATATAATTTAGAAATAATAGGCTACATTTTACCAGAGATTGGCTATGTGTCAATTTTGGGAGTTTCATAACTGTGAGCCATAGTGACTTTCCAGTGATTGTCCACAGCTTGCTATACCTTTATGGTAACAACCGAAAGATCTGCGGATGCTGGAGATCAGAAACAAAAGCAGCAGTTGCTGGAAAAGCTCAGCAGGTCTGGCAGCAACTGTGAAGAGGAATCACAATTAAAGTTTCAGGTCCGGTGACCCTTTCTCTGAGGACATGTTCACCATGGCTGGGACCCCCCAGAATTCCCAGCATCAGCGCCAATTTTAAAGCCCAGTTATGAGTTGCCCTTCATAGTGCATGTAATGGGAGGGGATAAAAACAAACACCTCTGCGGTCACATCATCTATAATTCATTGCAACTTCATCTCTGAGTCAAAATCATGGAACGCCCTCCCTAATGGCCTGTGGGTCAACCTACAGCACGTGGACTGCAGCAGCACAAGAAGGTAGCTCTCCATCACTTCTCAAAGGCAACTAAGAATGAGCAATACATGCTGGCTCAGCCATTAACACCCACATCTTGTGAATGAATTTAAAAGAAATACAACTGCACACCTGTAAATGTACTGCTATTTTACAACATCACCTGTTTGATTAACAGTCATTGTAACTGTAGCTATAAGAACTAAGCTACATGGGTTACTTGTCCTTAACATCATCCCAAATTAGAACCCTGTCTTAGGGAATGCTACTTTTTCTCCATAGCCCACTGTAGCTTAACATCTTCTCATATCAGCATCATATACTGGCAAGCCTTCAAACAGTTGTATGGGATGGGCCAAAGGACGAAAAATTAATGATGATATTCGACAGCTGCATGAGAAGGTTGATTGTAAAGGATGGACTTAAGGGCTAAAATTGTTGATGATACTCGACAATCTGCACGACCTTGGATGAGTCTTGTGAACGTTCCCGTACATGCTGTAGACAGCACAATTAAAAACTTGTTTTCTGTACGAGCCAGCAGTTTTGGCTATTGTATCTGTCGTTTTCTGTACTGGTTGTTTGTGATACTGTGTAAGAGAAAAAGAGTTTCGTTCCAAGCTGCTGCTGCTCTTGCTGGACTACACCTCAGCTCGGAATTGTGAATAATGCCAGGGACAAAGCTAAGCCTCAAGATCAGCCATCGATTGAGGGGACCCCAACAGGCGGAAGAACATGAGACTTGTTGCTTTTTCTAGAAAGGCGTGAGACTTGTTGCTTTTTTTTCATCTTTTCTTCACCATTTATTATTACCATTATAATCATTTATTAATACTTAATAAACATTCATTTTAAGCAAATTGCTGTGGTTGAGCCTTCTCTTAATTATATTTACCCGAATCTGATAAGAACCGTTTGGATACATGCTGTGATCCCAGACAATGTTTGAAAATATTATTCAGCAACAGCAAAAGTGAAGAAACAAAAATGAAGGAAAAGCTATGTTTGCTGCTGGCAGCAGAAAGGGCTGCTTGCCTTTCAATCAGCAACACATTTACTGTCACTGAGTGATCGCTGCACTGAGCTCACACCTTTTAGAAATGCGTGTTACTGATTCCCTTTCTGGCTTCTTTTACACAATGTTATCGACTGATCCAAAAGCAATGGAACCACATCTTGACGAGGACTATCATCCACTCTATGTTGACGATCGTTGAAAAATAGAAGGTATTGAATTTACATTCTGCCTCTTCAGGGGATTGCTTAACAGAGTCATCAGGCATATCTGCAGAGGGTGGTACTCATCTCATTCTTGTAAGGCATCCAGCACTTCAAACAAAACAGGGCTATAGGATTTCTTGAGAATATTGTCATCATCTCAGCTCAACCTGGCACAGACTTCTAAGATGAGGTACTGATGATCACAGACAAGTTGTCCATTGATGAAATGAAAACCTTTTCTGTTGATGCAGTCAGCAACGTTATGATATGGTACTTTCAACATGACATATACACAGTTACCTGATACCTGGAGGGATGCCAGCTATGTTTGCAAAACCTACTGCCCAGGCTGCATCACTACCCTCATCAGGGGGAAAAGAGATTAAGTGGTGTGATCAGACACTCATTTTGTCTGTAACAGCCTTGATACATGAGTGGATGGAGGATTGAGAGATTGCTCATAGGTCCCTGGTGGATCCTTGAAAGGAGCCAGTTGCATAAAAGTTTAGTGCAGCTGTCACCTTGATGGCCACCAGGATAGGATTTCCAACTTCAGGCCCGGTGCCCAGCTCCAGTGGTGGGTATGTCTGTGATGTGTCTGAGGACATCCTCAGACTGTGGGCTCACTGTGCCTCACTTAGCCGAAGGAAATCGCATCAAGAATAATAGATTATGGCCACCCCTGTAACTCTTGTGCATCCTAAGGGGACCTTCTACTGCATCTTCTTCAGTGGAAGGCTGTTTGGTTGCCAAATGTGAGCAGTCAGCATTCATATTGCACACAAACAATGGCTTAGTATTGTTCTCGATACAGGGGTTACAGAGGACTCGACAGTTTGAATCAAGAATGCCTGTAAAGGGCCCTTTGAAATAGGGACCTGTTTTACAAAAAATGCAGTGCAAGACATGTCACATAAATAGAGTAGCAGATTTTAAGTGCAGTACAATTATTCACAGCTTGTCACCCTAACCCTATCACTCCTGAAAGCTCAAGAAAGGCAGCGAGGCGTATGTTAGCAAATATTTACAGCACAAGGAGATCAGCTTTTTGAGATTTTGGATTGTCTTTTTGATTTGCGGTCTGCAGGTGCCAGTTTGAATGTTATCTGTGATTATTTCTGCTTCACAGAGATGACTGTGATCAATTTGTAATGACCAATGACATGGTCAAGATTGTTTGTCACCAGGATTTGTATCCTACACAATTGGACACTACATGTATTTCACACACCAGGGTACTTTCCTTGCAGATGTCTTCAGCCCGCACTGTCAAAGTGCCTGGTTAATGCAATCACCCCTTGCAGGACCTTGTGTCACTCACAAGTACAGTCTGCACCCTCAGACAGAAAAAAAAGCTCTGCTCACTCCAGATGCAGTCATAGCCATTTTCCTTTCTCATTGCATGTGAGTCTGGAAGGCAACACAGATCATGCTTGGTACAGTGATTGGCAGGTTCAACCTAATAATCAAGGCCAACCCCATCTCCTCCATGCTCATTTCTTCCTTGAATTCCCTGTCAAGCCTATCAATGCTGAGCTTCCACACGTTCCCACATAACTCTTTCACTTACAACTTCATTTCACAATAATAACCACTGAGGCCCAGGTCTCCAGCTCAGACATGCCAATCACCATGTTGCATTGTCGCCTTCAACAAGGTCAAAGTGGTTGTGACCATGATAACCACACAATCCTTGAATATACTGTTGTCTCCCCCACTAAAATGTTGAGTTGCCGCTCTTCACAATTATTGTCCCCTCTGCACCCCAGTGTTCTGTCTGCAATCCTCAGAGCTGGTGCCCCCATTTCCCTGCCACAGCAGTGATCCCTGACAACCTCTCATGACTTTCATTGAGCTGACTCCCTAGGCCTGAACACAGTCCGAATCCTTGCCTGAGTCATAGAGTGATTGTGCCCTTGACTGATGTCAGTGTAGCTCCTGCTTGACCCACTGCAAATCCATGGGCTAGTTGGACCTGCAGGACTGACCCTTGGCCCACTTCCTAGACTGCAGTGATACAGACTCCCTGACCACGATCACCACAAGCAGCTGACTGGCTGTGTCCAAGCTGCTGAATGGATTGTGGATGCTACCCTTGGCCTATTGTACTGGAAACCCTTAACTGAAGGCTCTCTCCCTTGACAGCGAAGGGCTACATTCCTTAGTCTTTGAATCATGGCCGTTTTGTTGAAGCATGTGCAGTATGTTTGCTGCATAAGCTGTTGACACATGCTGCTCGTGTAACACTGACAAAGCATGATGCCGTATGACAATGTGTCCACTCTCTTGATGGATCATTGCTGACAACCATGACAAGCTTTCTGATTTTGTACCTGTGCTAAACAGCAAAACAAGAGAGAAGTGTTGTGAGCTTTTAAGTTATGAGCCTGAGAGCAAATCGCAAAGAGGCAAGGCAAGGCAAAGGCTCTATGAGTGTCCAACAAGGAACACAGTAAGTAAACGCTATGAGAGCACGTGAGGAGCCTTGAGATGCATCCTGATTCAATCCATGAATGCATGGGTCATGTGCTAGTCCTTGCATGGAAAGTGGCCTGGCAGCAGCATTACAATAAAAGATGCTGGTGTGCTCCAAAGTGCAGTACTAAAGTGGAGAACTATACTCTATATGAGTAGGACACATGGCATGAGCACATGATGCGGCTGGTAAATATCTGATGCCAGTGTGTGTGGAACATGACTGTAGGCGATCACTGCCCATGGAGACGTTGGGGACTGCTTTAATGTCTGAGGGCCAGAGGACCAAGCAGGATTTTCCAAAAATATTTGATCAGGTACCTAGCAGGGTGATGAAATGTTTGCAACCAAACCCACTGCCTGGCTAGCATGTCTACAACCTCAGGTACCAGGTATTAGGTGGCATAGTAAGTTAAGACCGGATGGTTTTGGATGCAGTATGTTCAAATGGATAATGGATCGGCTAAATAATAGAAGACAGAGAGTTGGGATAAGGAGGGCATAAAATTGATGTAGCTAATCTACATTATGCTGCGAAGTTAAAATAACCTTTATTCATTTCTAGAACAGAACTGGGTGTAATTACAACTCAGCTTCAAAAATACTAAATAATCAAGGGTAAAAGTGAGCGACAAAACAAATACAATAATTATCACTAGAGAAAATGTACTCGGGAAACTAATAGGGAAAAAGGCCAACACATCTCTTGTATCTGATAGAATGCATCCTAGGATACTAAAGGAAGCAGCTACAGCGTTAATGGACACATTGGTAGTAACCTTCCAAGATCCTTCAATGCTGGAAAACTCTCAGAGAATTGGAAAGCTGTCAATGCAACACCTTTATTCAAAAAGAGAGGGAGATGATAAACAGGTAATTATAACACTATTAGTTTAACATCTATAATGAGGAAAAAGAGAGTCAATTATAAAGGATGCATCAGCAGATAGAGCATTTACAAGCACATAATATTAACAAGCAGAATCAACATTACTTCATGAAGGGGAAATCATTCCTGACAAATCTATTACAGTTCTTTGAGGAGGTAATAGGAAGGAAAAATAAAAGAGAAACCAATAATGTAATGTATCAGGATTTTCAAAAAGCATTTGATAAGGTACCACACATTGGATGGCATAAGAAGATAATAGCCCACTGTGTAGGGATAGTATACTAACATAGATAGAGGATTGGCTAACTAATAGAAGATAGAGAATTGGGACAAGGAGGGTATTTCAAGATGGCAACCTAAAACTAATGGAATGCCACAGGAGTTGGTGCTGGCATCACTATTATTTACAAGATATTAATGACTAGAAGAAGGAAGTGAATGTACCATCGTCAAGGTTGCATGTAACATAAAAATAGGTGGGAGGTCAAATAGTGAGAATGACGCAAAGAGTTTGCAGAGGAAAGAGACAGGTCAACAGAATGGGAAAAGTCTTGGCAGATGAATATAATGTGGGAAAATGTGAGGTTATGCACTTTGGCAGGAAGAGTAGAGGGGCTGAACATTATTTAAGTACAGTAAGACAGTGGAAAGAGGATTTGGGGTCAGAAGAAATGTCATATCACACTCAAAAAAAGTTAACTTAGTACCTTTCATCAAAGATGTCACCAGACCTGCTGAGTTTCTCCAGCACATTCTTTTTATTTCAGATTTCCAGTATCTGCAGTACTTTGCTTTTCTAGGATCTGGGAGTCCTCGTCAATGAATCTCGAAAATTTAGGATACGTGTTCAACAAGTAGTATGAAAGACAAACAGAATGTTGGCCTTCTTTCAAAAGGAATGGAGTGTAAACATAGGAAGATCTAGCAAGGATCACTGGACTGATTCTGGGTAATGAGAGGACTTCTCATGAGCAATAGTTGAGAAGGTTGAGCCTGTACTCAGTGGAGTTTAAAAGAATGAGAGGCAACCTTATTGAAACATATAAAACTCTTAGGAGGCTTGACTGAGTAAATGCTAAGAGACTGAGAATCTAGGACCAGAGGGCATAATCTCAGAGTAAGTGGTCACTCATTTAAATTAGAGATGAGGACGAATTTCTCCTGTCAGCGGGTAGTCAATTTATAAAATTCCTTACTACAGAGGGTTGTGGAGGCTGGGTCACTAAATATATTCAAGACTAAGATAGATAGATTTTTAATCAGTAAGGACATCAAGGGTTATGGAGAAAAAGTAAGAAATTGGAGTAATGAATTATTGGATCATGTTTTTCCATGGCAGCAGGTTTCATGTTTGTTTTCTTAATGAAATATGTGTTCAATAGATGGAATAAACTTATGCAAAATGTTCTTTCGAGAACAGCACTGTGAAGTTATTGCAAATGTTGGCATATTATTATGTGAATTTAACTTTAATGTTTATGTCTTTTCTTTCATGTAATTTAAAGCAAGGTGCAAAATTAAACTGTATTAGAGAATGCACTGTCAATGAAAAGTATACAAATATGTTTTTGTGCTTTTGAGATGGAATGGAGAGTGCAGAGCAGCAGGGGATCAAACGCATGATGCGGAGTTTTTCTGGGTGGTCACAATCCCAAAATTGACCATGATTCTGAATCGTGGAACCTGAAAGTGGCCTTGAGGGTTATCAGTCATGATCTGACCAGAGGCGGCGAATTGAGGAGCTAGCTCCAGCATCTCCATCCAGTTAAGGAGATTGAGTTGAAAGGGAAGCAAGAGTCTGAATTGGAGGAGTTGTAGTGATGTTTGGTGGCAGGTCCAAGGAGAGATTAATACTAGTGGTGAGGAGGGACACCGAGAGGTCATCTTCTTCAGATGAATTCAAATTTTGTGTATTACTGTGAGGGGTCTCAGGGCGGACATAACCCCCCCTGGAAGGATCCCTGGGACTTCTCTGTGCGCTTGATAAACCTTGTGGTCCCTGGTGTCGGCATCTAATGCAGCCTTAGATGGCAAGTCAATCTCTGAGCAAGAGGTTGCCTCCAAGGGACTAATTCCATGAAGCGGACTTTATTCCCATCGCAAACCTCCTGAGATGAGAAAGCTTTGGGAAATCACCCCGATGGACTTGCCCTTTTCTTCTTGCCCATCACTGCCTCCAAACCCTTTTTCATGGACCTGTGATCTGATTTAATGCAGGGTAGCTACAGTCACCTTTGATGTACTGTAATATAGATGTTGAATATTATTTAGAATTAAAAATAGTGACAAATCACAAATAGCTCATCCACTCTGGTAGACTGCAGATTTAAATTACAGCCTACCTTTGATGAATATTTTATCAGTGTATGTCTCATGTGGCCTCTTCTCAGCAAAAGGTTCTTTTCATTGAGTTGCCTACTTCCTGTGACTTTGGTCCAGTGGAAAGTACAGTTTGATGTTGCACTATTTTCAGAAATGTTTGATTAAAAAAGAAAACACTGAAGTTATTATTGAAATATGCAATGTGTATGATATACTTATGTCTGCAGCACTTGATTCATTCACCCATGAACCCAGCATTTCTGACACTCAAGTAATAATAGTTTTTCATCAATGACAAAACCTGTGAAACTGGTACTGGAGCTGTCAGTCACTTGGATTCATGATCAGAATTAAATTCAATGCCTGGCCTTATTAAAATTCTCATGGAATATACAGTCACGCATTACCATGAAAGATCTCAAACCTTTGAAACAGTTCATGAGCTGACATTTTGCTTAGCCTGAAAAGCCTCCTTTTCTTATTCCCTCAGTTTGTCCTCCACTGCTAATATTATAAAACTTTGGAAATCATGTAAGTGGGCAAATTGCTGTCTTTAGTCAGTGTTATTTCACATCAATAATCTAATGTATGTAACTGGTCCACAAGAGAATAATTTTCCAAAATATTTTAATGTGACATTTCTGCTTACCTGCGGTACAACACGACTGCTTTCTGCACAGGAACATAAATGTCAGAGTTACTGTACTCTTCATAGCTTAAAAAATGGAAATATTACTGTGTGAGCAATGCTGCAAATTAAAAATCATGAAGATGGTTGTAGCACATGAAATACAAGTTTCTTTGCTTGTTGTATAACATCATATTTATAGACAACTCTATGTGACTGCGCAGCTGACGCTAATGAAGGATCAAACATTCTAATTTCCATATTCTCTTCTTTAGATGCAAAGAATTGAGCTACCCCAAGAACCTGCCGCAGATTTCCCTCATTTTTATCTTTGTGAATGAAGCTTTGTCTGTTATCCTTCGCTCTGTGCACAGTGCAGTGAATCACACACCAGCCCATCTACTCAAAGAGATTATCCTTGTGGATGACAACAGTGATGATGGTACAGTAAGCTTCAAAATGTGTGGTAATAAAACTGCATTCACTATAGCCCTGCCTGATTTTATGCCTGAAACTATGTTTTGAGGGTGTGTTTGAGCATTTGAACAATTTACCATATGTTGCAAAGTACTCTCTTCCTGAGGGATTGGAGCATCACTGTTGTGGAATGCTCTCTCCAATCATCTGTCTCTGCCATATTTTGTGATCAATTTAGGTTGCACATTCACAAAATGTCACTCCCTCCACCACCAATGCTCAGTAGCAGCAGTGTGTGCCATCTACAAGATGCACTGCAGAAATTCGCCAAGACTCCTTAGAGACTATCTTCCAAAACCATGACCACAACCATCTTCAAGAACAAGGGCTACATGCAAAACCAACATCTGCAAGTTCCCCTCCAAGACACTCACCATCCTGACTTTGGAATATGTTGCTGTTCTTTCAGTGTTGCTGGTCAAGATCTTTGGACTCCCTTCCTAAAGACATTCACAAAATCACATCACATTCTCAAGGGAAATTAGGGAGGGCAATAAATTCTGGTCCAATCTATGAAGCTTTCATGTGTTGAATGAATTAAAAAATCCTAAACCCAGCTAGTAGCAATCTCCAGGCTTGGATGGTGCCAATCCCCAGTCTTGGCTGGTGCCAACCCCCAGTCTCAATCAGTGCAATCTCCAGACCTGGCTTGTGGCAATGCCAAATTGTGCCAATCCTCAGTCCTGGTTTGTGCCAATCCCTAGTCTCAGCCAGTGCCAATCCCCAGTCTCAACTGGTATCAATCTCCAGAACTGGCCGGTGCCAATCCCTAGTCTCGGTTGGTACTAATCCTCAGTCTCAGCCAGTGCCAATCCCCAGTCTTGTTTGATGCCAATCCCCAGGCCTGGCCACTACCAATCCCCAGTCTTGACTCGTGCCAATTTCCAGTCTTAGCCAGTGCCAATTTCCAGTCTCAGCCAATGCCAATCTCCAGTCTCATTTGGTGCCAATTCCCAGTCCTGGCCAGTGCCAATTCCAAGTCTCAGTTGGTGCCAATCCCCAGTCCTGGCTGGTGCTAATCCCAAGTCTTGGTTGATGCCAATCCCCAGTCTTGACTGGTGTTAATCCTCAATCTTGTCCAGTGGCAATACCGGCAATACACTCACTGCAGTCACTTAATTCCCCAGTTTCTTCTCCAATCATAGCCTGGAGGCTGGTTTTCTCCCATGTTTGTGAATTGTGAGCCTAGCAGCAGCAAACACAAGTGAGGAACAGGCTGTGATTGGAGGACCATGAGAGAAAGAAGATTGCTGATTGGACGAATCGCTCTTCACATAATCTATCTCTAAAACTTACAGGAGTGAGCTTGCTCTCATTGATCAACGCCTTGGTTGATTATTCTTGGGCATTTTTGGGGCTTTCAGTGTGATTCTGGATTTTGAACAAGGGCAGGGCAGAGGTGAAATGAGAGCTGTGGGATTGTAAAGATGGGTATGGAAAGTTTGAGTTATAAAGATGGCTGGATAGGCTGGGACTTTTTTCACGAGCGTAGGAGGTTGAGAGGCAACCTTACGGAAGTTTCTAAAATAATGAGGGGATAGATAGAATTAGTGGGAGTTGTCACTTTCCTAGGATGGGAGACTTCAAGACAAGGGAGCACATTTTTAAGGTGAGAGGAGAGAGATTTAAAAAAGACATGAGAGACAAATTTTTTACACAGAGGATGATTTATGTGTGGAATGAATGTCCTGAGGAAGTGGTGGATGTGGGTTCAATTACAGTGTTTAAAAGATATTTGGACAAGGACATGAATAGCAAAGGTTTGGAGGGATAGAGGCCAGGAGCAGGCAGGTGGGACTAATTTAGTTTGGGATTATGTTCAGATAGACTGGTTGAACTGAAGCGTCTGTTTCCCTGCCACATGACTCTATGACTATGTGGACGAGGAGTAAGTGATGATAGCATTTTGCAAAGCAATTTCTGAGTGTTAAAGATAGGTGTAGAGAATAGATTCCCTTAACCATACTGCAGGGTAAGTAGAGTGTGCATATTTCTCTATTCAAGTTAAATCTATAGTAATGAAAAAGAAGAAAGAAAGACCATCATGAGTGCATGATGTCAGTAGATCCTTGTTTATTGATTCTTTCCTGTGATGTTCTGCTTCTCTGAGATTGAGAAAGTTGGGGGGAGAATGGCAGTACCAACTTTCTGTGAGGGGCACAACTCACTGACTGCTTTGCTGTTCTTGGTGGATGACTGTCCCATGAGGCTGTGCCTCCTCTCTCTGGCTTTGTCTAAAAGGACAATGAGAGGTTAACTCTTCTCATCATCCCATTCCATCTGGCTGCTTGCTTACAAAGTATACGTTTTGTCTCTTAACATTGAACTGGTGAGGTGGTTAGCATCACGGTTATGTCACTGGACTAGACATTCAGAGGCCTAAGTTAATATTTTGAGGATTTGAGTTCAAATTCTTCCATGTTGGCTGGTAGAATTGTCACTAGGGAAGTCCCATTAATTGTCCTAAAAACCATCTGATCCACAAATGCCATCTTTACCTGTTTTGGTCCACCTGTTACTCCAAACCAACGGCAATGTGTTTGACTTTTAAATGCCCACAGAAATGGCTGAGTGAAAACCACTCAATTCAAGGGAAGTTAGGAATGGCCAACAAGTATTGATCTTGCCAGTGATTTCCATATCCCATGAAAGATTTAAAAAAATTGTGGGTTATGCTGTGCGGAGGTTTGGGAGAGAAACTTCCATATTTCCCAAAATCAGGACTCTGCAGAATGCTTCCACACAGTTAAGAGTCAGGATTCTTGGAGGTTCAGCTGCTGATATGGATTTATGAATTGTGAAGTCTGTGGATGAATAATGTAACATTCTGGTGGAACTATTGTGTAACTGATATTGAGGAAATCCAGGCATTTAAAACAACCTTGGTATGAGTTGCTTTTCATCGACGTGGGCTGTGTTTCCTCTGTTCACTACAGAAGAACTAAAGGCCCCATTGGAAGAATATGTCCACAAGCGTTACCCTGGCCTGGTGAAGGTGGTGAGAAATGAAAAGCGCGAAGGCCTAATCCGAGCCCGAGTGCAGGGATGGAAAGCTGCAACAGCATTGATCACCGGATTCTTTGATGCCCATGTGGAGTTTAGTGCAGGATGGTAAGTAGCTATTTGAATAATCATGAGCATAGAACATAGAATTGTACAGCACAGAAACGGGCCATTTGGCCCATGATGTTGTGCCAAACATGACACCAAATTAAAATAATCCCTTCTGCTTGCCCTTCGTCCATATCTCTCCATTCCTTGTATATTCATGAGCTTATCTAAAAGTCTGTCTATCATATCTGCCTCCACCATCACCCTTAGCAGCGTGTTCCAGATCTGTACCACTCTCTGTGTAAAAAAACTTGCCCCTCACATCTCCTTTAAACTTTCCCTCACTTACCTTAAATGCATGCCCCCTGGTATTAGACATTTCAACTCTGGGAAAAAAATTCTGACCGCCAACCCAATCTACGCATTTCAAATTTTATAAACTTTGATCAAGTTTCCCCTCAGCCTCTGCTGCTCCAGAGAAAATAACCTGAGTTTTTCTAGCCTCCCCTTATAGCTCATACCCTGTAATCCAGGTAGCATCCTGGTCAACCTCTTCTACATCCTCTCCAAAATCTCCACATCCTTCCTGTAATGTGGTGACCAAAACTGAACAAAGTACTCTAAATGTTTCCTTACCAAAGTCTTATAAAGCTGCAACATGACATCCTGACTCCTGTACTCAATTCCCTGACCAATAAAGGCAAGCTTGCCATATGGCTTCTTTATCACCCTATCTACTTGCATGGCAACTTTCAGGGAGTTATGGACTTGAACCCCATGATCACTATGTGCATCAATGCTGTTCAGGGTCTTGCCATGTACTGTATACTTAACATTTGTTCTCCCAAAGCGCAGCCGGATTACATTCCATCTGCCGTTTCTCCGCCCATATCTGCAACTGATCTATATCCCACTGTACCCTTTGACAACCTTCTACACTATCCACAACTCCACCGATCTTTGTATCGTCTGCAAACTTACTAACCCACCCATCTACATTTTCATCTAAGTCATTTATATATAGATCACAAACAGCAGAGGTCCCAGAACGGATCCCTGCGGAACCCCACTAGTCATGGACCTCCAGCCAGAAAAACCACCACTTCCACCATTACCCTCTGCCTTCTATGGGCAGCCAATTCTGAATCCATGCGGCCAAGTCACTGTGGATCTCATGCATCTTAATCTTCTAAATGAGCCTACCATGAGGGACTTTGTCAAAAGCCTTACTAAAATCCATGTAGACATCATCCACTGCTCTACCCTTATCAATCACCTTTATTACCTCCTCAAAAAATTCAATCAAGTTAGTAAGCCATGACCTGCCCTGCACAAAGCCATGCTGACTGTACCTAATTAGGCCATGCTGTTCCAAATGTGCTTAAATCCTATCCCTGAGAATTCTCTCCAATAGCTTCCCAATCCCCGATGTGAGATTCACCGGTCTATCTGGATTATCTGTATTTCTCTTCTTGAACAGAGAAACAATATTCTCTACTCGCTAGTCTTCTGGGACCTCTCCAGTGGCTAATGAGGATACAAAGATCTTGATCAAGGCCCCAGCAATCTCCTCTCTTGTCGCTCTCAATAATCTGAGGTAGATACCATTAGGTCCTGGAGCCTAATCCACATTAAAGGTCTTCAGGAAGTCCAACACCATTTCTTTCTTGATCTCCATACAGATCTGACTATCCTCCATGTCCTTCTCCTGGGTGAATACCGACACAAAGCACTCATTTAGGATCTCACCCACATCCTCTGCCTCCAAGCACATGTTCCCTCCTTTATCCTTGAGTGGTCTTACCTTCTCCCTAGTTATCCTTCTGTTTTTGATGTATGAATAGAATGCCTTATGATTCTCTTTAACCCTACTTGCCAAGGTCATTTCATGACCCCTTATGGCACTCCTAATTCCCTGCTTGAGCAGTACGCATGTTTAATGAAACGGCATCACTCTCTAGTTACATGTAATGGATTTATTTACTTCTATTAAAATCAGTACCTTCCCTCTTCATAAGAGTGTAAACTCAGTTTGGGATGGTGGAATAAGGTACAAGGGTTTCCTATCTTTACCTGCTCGTGCAAAAACTAGGGAGCTGTTTGTTGACAGCAAAGGAGATTGTGACATATTAGCATGTTGCATTATAGATGGTCATAAATCACATTTGCTGGTGTAAAGGGATAAAAACGATTGATTTTGATCTACTTGGAATGAGTTGAGGGAAATTAAAGTTATTCCAAATAGATCAGTTAGAAATGTTTGGCTCTAAGATTGAAGCACAATCTCTGATAGTAATAGATGCCTTCTACAAACCATTGTCCTCCCACCTTGAGTATTATGTCCATTTCTGTGTATTGGGTCACGAAGTAGAATGCCTTGTCATTGAAGAGACTCTGAAGAAGGACACTAAACTGAGATTATTGGACAGTTAGTCCTGGAAAAGTCTCATGCTACAAGGAATGTTTGGGAAATAAATGACAGCTTATAGGCACTGTTACTGAAATACTTAAGATTGTTGAGAGGAATCTGTAAACTGGATCCTAGAAAACTGTTCATGACTAGCACCAGGTCTACGAAAGGGATACGAATCTAATTACAAGTGAGAAAAGGTGAATGTATAATTGAAATCAAACCTCATGCCAGATGTAACAAACATAGGAACTTGTGAAAACAGAATATTACTAACTTTAAAAGACTGCTGGATATATTTTAAGCAAGTATTGATAGGTATCAGAGTGGGTGAAATGAACACTGACCATAGGATCAGTTTAATGGATAGAAATGGTTGTCTATGATGCAGTGTATTCTATTCTTCAAAGGAATTTGGGGCCAGTTGGTGATTCACTTATGTGTGCTGTAGGCTGAGATGATGCAGGACCATGGTAAGTAAAAGTGCTTAAGACTGTTTGTGTATAGACTGTAAGCGCAAGCACAGAATGATTGGCCGAATAGCCCATTTCTTAGTTCTGATTGGTTATAAATCATGAAGAGCTGGAAAAGATTGCCTTAGAAAATCAGAAAGTCCAAGATTTTCTGAAATTGGCAAAAGTGTATTTTTCCATTCTATTTACTGCTCCAGGAACTTTAGTGATTTAGTTGCTGCACCGTTCTTCAGCTGAGAGAAGAAGCAGGAAGATGTATAAAAATTACTTTCCACTTCACCTTGGTTGTTTTGGCGCAGTGATTCAGGGTGAATAAAAACAGGCTCAATAATTATATTCATTCCTTTGCACCTTACTGCCAATTTCTTACATAGTGAGGTAAAGTAAGGAAAAAGTAACATTGTCAAGCATACATTTCATAAACCTCAACCAATATAGCATAGCGTAAGTAAAACAAAGAGCTGTAGATACTAAAAATCTGAAACAAAAGCGGAAATTCCTGGCAAAACTCAGCAGGTCCGCTGTACCCGTGCAGAAAAAGCAGAGTCAACATTTCAAGGGATAACCTTAATCAAGGGTCATTGGATCCAAATTGTGGACTCTAATAACATAATTGGAGATAGTCAGAGAGGAGCTTTTGATAGTTCTCTGTGAGGTGAATTGCCTCCCAGCTAAGGAATTTCACAAGGGGTTTCATAGTGGACCTGACTCCTATGAATGATATAGGTTCTATTTGGAGATTGGAATTAGCTGAGCAGCAGTCAATATTGATCGTAGTGCATTGACTTGGAAAACCAAACCTTATTATACAAAATCAAATAAACAAATCTCCAAGGTTTAAGCAGTGCATTGATGAAGGAAGAAACTACTCTAGAACGTATGCCCTCCAAAATATTTTGTAGGGTATGTGCAACAGATATAAAAGTAGCAAGAGAAGCTATTTGAGAAGCTTCGGTATGCATCCTGTTCTTATGCAAAGCATTAATAAAGATTTTCTGGGAGTAAAGTTGTACGAAACATTCAGCAATTAGTGCAATGTACTTTCTTCAGAAAAGGCAAGTTGTTGTGGCATGATCTCTTCCTGCGATTTTTCACTTTGTTTCATATTGGGTTAACTCAAGTCATTGTGAATAAGAAGACAAAGACTTGTATTGATAGATATTTTCTAATCAGCATGTTCAAAGATTTTTTTTTACACACATTTGAAGCATGTGGGATTGAACACAAGTTCTTCTGGTTCAGAGGCAAGATCACTACCACTGCACCACAAGAACCCCAACAACTTGCATTGATTTGGTGTTGTCTTGTTTGAGAAATGTCTCAAAATACTTAACAACCAATCAGGTATTTTTGAAGTGCAATCTTTATTGTAATATAGCAAATGGAATGGCAATGTACACAAACTAAACTCACACAAACAACACTGTGATAATGGCCAGAAATTCTGTTATTACGATGTTGGTTGAGGGTGTGGCCAGCAAACCAAAGATAAGTTTTTCAGTCCTCCCTCAGAAGAGCACTGGAGGTCAATTTTGATTTTGTCCTAATGCCTTTGGAGAGGGTTTTAAACAGGAAACTTTGTGATACAGAAGCAAGAAGGCCACCAACTAATTCATGACTGATGTTCCAGATAAAAACTTTCAATATTTTACCACCTACTCGTACAAGGTTAATTGTCTGCAGATACTTAAAATTGTTATTTTACATTTCTAAAACAACGCAAGCTGTACTAATTTGTTTGCAATTTAGTTACTCCTTATGATGAATACAACCACTTCGTAGATTTTCAGCTAAACCTCATTTTATGTCCTTCAATATCTGCTGTTCTTTGGAATCGATTGGTTTGCTCGCCTTTCAAGACTATTGAGGACATTGTGAGTGAATTTGTATTAAATTATTAAGTCTCCTTCCCTGCTGTTATTAGACTGCTGAATGGACCTCTTTAACTTCAAATAATGTTGATCTTGCTAATGTGGATCTTGCATTATACACCTCCTTTGCAGTTGTAACCTTGTATGCCTTGCTCTGTCTAAGCACAGTATGATCTACGTGTTCTTGTTTGCTGTGATCTGCCTGCACAGCTCACAAAACAAAGCTTTTCACTGCACTTAGGTACATGTAACAACAATAAATCAAATCAAAAATTTAGTCATTGAACTTCTTGTGTTTGGGAGTTT